CATATGACACACGTAATAGGTGTGAACCAGGACAGCATCCGAGAAAAGCAGATGTAACCACCCCATGCTACTTTTTCCACATTTCCTGGTTTGTGTCCATCCTGAGTTATTATGATTCGCTGCTATGGTTTGGGTATGAAATGTCTTCCCAAAAGATTCACATGTTAAAGGCTCAGTCTGGTGATGGTATTCAAAGGGGACTGGATCATGAAGATGCCAATCTTATCAATGGATTAACTGAAGGCTTCATTCGTGTTAGTCCATCTCTTTCTACCTTCCAGTTGCCCGAGGTAAGCAGCTCTGACGCTTTTCTACCAGGCTATTCCCTGATGTTCTGCCTCAACTTGGGCCCCAAAATAATGGGGATGCAACCATAAACCAGTACAACCACTTCCCTTTAAGTTTACAGGAAAGTATGGAAAGGCTAACATTTCCCCAAACACATGCCTTCAAAGTGCTGCCTTCGTGAGGCACAGCTGCCAGTCAGCGAAAGCAGGGCAAGGATGTGCAGAAGAAAACGCATGTAAGGGATAACATGCACCTCTTGTGAGGACCACAAGTCAGGGCTCTGTGGAGACACTGGAGGGTGTCTTCAATGTCCCCAAAGCAGGTGTGGTGATGCAGATAAGGCAGGAAGCTTACCTCTTTGTCTTCTGTGAGCTTTGACAACAGGTATACCAGTGGGTCAAGGTTCCTTGTATTTTTAGACTTCAGTTCCTCATATTTCTTTAAAAACTCCTCAGGAGTACGAGAAAATTCTGCAATTTTAACCTCAAATCACAAGCATAAGCAACTTAATGACAATAACAAATCAAATACTTTAAAAAAAAAAACCTTAAAAAAACAAAAAAAAAAAAAAAACTTTAAAAAAAAAAACCTTAAACAACCACAAATAAACAAACCAGAGTTGAATTAGGTGAGCTAAACAATCACATCTCTGAAATAAACAGAAAATTAATGTCACTGGTCCACCAAACCCAGCCACCCTTCTTTTATGATTTCTCATATCTCATGCGTCAGTCACAGGCCCAGGAACGTTCACAACTGTCCTACAAGTTCATACATTCTTTCACACTTGTTGCCTCTCAAGCTTCCTGCCTGTACCAACTCAGGGATGTTTCACTCAGCAATTTTAACGATCTGCCAACAAAATGAATGAATGTGTGCTTCCTGAGTCATGCTCCACTCAATTCGTTGACTGTAATGATGCCACCACTATACTATTTAAATAGGTGAAGCTTCATAGTGTCTAACTTTCAAAAGGTTTCCTTTTATTTATGTGTCTGAGTATTTTGTTTACATGTATATCTGTGCACCATGTTCATGCAGTGTCCATGGAGACCCTGGAACAGGAGTTACAGGTGGTTATGAGCCACCATGTGGGGAACTGGAAACTGAACCAGGTTCTCTGCAATAGCTGCAAGTGTTCTTAACCACTGAGCATCTATGTTTTTAGGTTTAAAAACACCTATATTTTTAGAAGTAGATTTCAAATTCAAAGGTATCTGAAAGATGCATAGTTGAATTATGAATTCTTTAATAAAGAAAGAATAATTGGTGTGGTGTAGCACAAACCTTTAATCCCAGACAGATCTCTCTAAATTCAAGGCCAGCCTGTTCTACATATCTACACAGTGAATTGCAGACCAGACAAGGTTACACAAAGAAAGAGATAAAAATAAAAAAACAAACAAAAATACAAAAAAAAAAAACCCTGAAAGTGTGATTAATAACAATAGCTTTTCTTTTCCCACCCAGTAACTTTTACATATATTAAGTCTCTTCCTCAGAAACAAAGGAGGGCTGTGTGAGAGTTCAAGGCTTCTCTCTCTCTCTCTGGATATCTACTGACTCATCTATATAATGGGGTAAATAATAGTAGCTATTGCCAGAAACCAGAAGACTAGCAGAGCACAGCGAATGCCAGGGTCAAAGGAAGCATCCACCAGGAGCTGCTGGTCCAGTACTAGCCATGCTGTAGCTATCAGGGACAGGTTCTCATCCCCACAGCCCTAAGATGAGTGTCCACATCGGCGGCTGCATCTTCAGGCCCCCATTCCTATGGCTCTGTATCAGGGATAGGTGCTCACCTTGGCACTGTGGGCAGAGACTGTGGTTGTAACATATGGAGTCCGGTTTTTCTGCAGCAGGTCAATGTAGACCTCAGCCCCATCTCCACCATGGGTGCGTAGCAGGCTGAGTAGTTCATTGACATCATGGTGAATCCGAAATTCACTCATAGTTTAGCTCTGGGACACCAACATAGCAATAGTCTCCTGAAGGCAGAAAGAAAGCTGTTCATAAGATTAAAACCTAAAATATCTTTTGACTGATTCAAACCTTCAACATAAAAATCATCACTAAGATTATGTCAACCACGAGTCTCTCCCCATCCTGGCAGTATGATCTATCAAAATGCTGAGACCTGCCAGCCACTGTTCACTGCATTCACCTCTACCATGCACCTGTTGACAGAGCTTTCGGTTGTTTTCAGTTGACACCATCACTCCAGGAGTCAACTGTACCGGGTAAATCACTGAAATGAGCCCCACAAGCCTGGTTCTCACTCCCTGGTCCAGCCTATCTTCATGTGACCATGGGTTAGCAGGAGGCAGATCTGCTCTTCTGTCTCAGCTTTCTTGACCTTGGCTGGGCAGACACAATGATCCTGCCCTTTGAGGGAGCTTGCATAGACCTAGGCTACTATCTCTGTCTTGCTATATTAAAACTTCCCACTCATGAGGCCATACCCAGTTTTCAAACCCTAAAGTGTAAGGTGGTACTTCCATCTACACACCTATCTGGCATTCTTTCTTGCATTCTAAAACCCTTCAATGTTTCTTCCTCTGGTCCAGGCCTGGCTACATACAAAGATATTTTAGGTAGGTAAGATTTCTACATATTCCAACTTTGCTGATGCTCTAGGACCAACTGCACTAGGGTCTAGACATTGGTCACAAATGGTGGAAATCAAAACAACTTCCGAGGCTGTAACCCAAGAACTCGAGAGGCTGGGCAGGAATATCACAGTCCAAGCCAGTCTAGGATGCACAACAAGAACCTGTCTCAAAATCAAACAGCAGAAGACAGCATGTGAATTTCTAAACTAATGTTCCACTGGTTAGGAGAGGCATGGTGACCTGTACCCCACCATCCCAGTGGAAAGTGCTCAACCATGTGGGGACTGTATATAATGTCCTAGTGGTAACAGATGTACCAACATCCTGGTACTAAAAGCTGACAACATGGGGTCTTCCACTCTTCCATTGATGGCTGAGCTAGTAATGAGTATCAGAAGTGCTAATAAAGAGCATTAAGGAAAAACAGACACTACCTACAGATTCAAAATTAAACCTGATAAGCTTCATGGATGTTATGGGAACATGGTAATAAACCTATATTAGGATCTTAATTTGAGATCCACAAACATTAGTAAAGTTATACCTGGATATAAGACTTTACTATTCATATCTATAAATTTTCTGAGCATTCTTGTAAATTCTCAAAAGTGTTGTAACTCAGAAATTAAGAACCGTTATGCTAACATGTCCAATTGAGTCAAGCCTTGAGTTAAACAGTGCCAAGGGCAGGAGACTCAGCACACAACCTCACAGTATGCTAATGTACAAAGTAGTACCATCTTGGAACTTTATCTTGAGAGTTCCACACTGTAAACCCACGTAACGGAAAAGCAGTTTCTTAGTTTAGCAACCTCCACCAATGTTCAAAATAGGTGACTCCAAGGACCAAAACAAAATGGAAAGCCAAAAGCTGGAATCAAATCCCTAGCACACATACTTTCAAATTGAGGGGTATTCAGCGTAACCACAGTAAAAAGCACAAAACAGCAGAGTGTGGGCTGTGGAGCCCCTCACAGTAGGAACATGATTCTTTCACCCGTGGGGTGTGGACACCAGGCAAAATGCTAGCTAGCCACCTGCATGCTTCACATGAAAAGAGGGAGTAACAGAGCTACAGAGAGTTGCTATGGCAATGAAAGAAAACAAATGTCTTGCCATGCTCACTTTAATATCTGGGATCTGGGTATGCTCACTAAGTAATGTGGGAATTGCTTGGTTTCAGAGAGACACTAAGACACTGACAGTCCCTTAAATGACATGTACCTTGGGGCTGGATACATGGCTTAGCAGTTAACATCATCTGGCTGCTCTTGCAGAGGACCTGGGTTCAGTATCCAGCTCCCACATGGTAGCTCAAAACCCTCTGTAATTCTAATCCCAGGAGATCTGATACCTCTTTCTAGATTCCACTGGCACTGTATGCACACCGTGCACAGTCGAAAATGCAGACAAAACACCCCTACACACAAAAATAAAATGTTCAAGTAATATTTTTTTTAAATATTCGTAGGTCTCACAAGAGGCACTTTAAGCTACCCCGTAAGCAGAAAACAAAATCCCAAACTTCCCCCACATCTCTTCAACTTCAGCAGTAACCATGACGTTTTGCAAGGCCATGAAGGCTGTCCTGCAACACGCTAGATGGCAAAGGTGTGAACCACTAACACAAAGTCCTGAACATCAGACACAGAGGGCAGTGCTACTCCCATGAAAAAAATCACCTACACGGATACTTGTTTAAAAATCATACCCCAGAAACTGAGTAAATCCTCAGATATCACTACTTCCCATGCATTAATGCAAGGAACCTGCTGTGCTTCCTGATTTGTAGGTAATTCCAGGGCGGGGGTGGAGGGGGGGTGAGGCTTCTCTTATCTCTAAACAGTAGCTTTCTTTAAGCCTTTAGACATATCCTAGGGTGCAGAAACAGCCAGAGACTGTCGCACTGTGGAGCTACGGAGCAGGCCCGGGCTGGCAGTCCGAACCGCCGGCCGCGGATGCCCAAGAGAATCAATCAGACTCCTTACCGCTGCAGGACCGTCGG